AATAATAACAAATAGAAATTGGGTATGAATCCAGAAACTTTTATCAATTAATTTATTATTATAAATATTCATATTTGAAGTACAACATTAAGTTGTTAAATTGAGATAACCTATCCATGGAAATAACTGTCATAAAACATAGTTAAATAACCAATAGTTCATATCATCTAAATTAATGAGGGAAAAAAAATATAACCGATGGTATAGGAAAATAATAAATCGATAAATTTTAATGACAACTGCCCGAGTTAACGTGGATAACAAATCAACGTGAATTATACTGTACATAAAATACAAAATGTATGATTATCGATGAAACGTTCTATTTATTATCAGGTGTACCCACTAACTTGTTTACTTAAATTTTAGGGTTAAAAAAATTTATCAACACAAAGGAAATGGTTGTAAAAAAAAGTCCGTCGGAGTATTCAGTTCAGGGTTAACCAGAAAAGGTATGGCCACTAATAGTGCACTATAAACCATCGCGAAAGAAACGAAACTAAACGGAACTAATCGAGATGAGGGGGGCATGAAACGAGGGTCGTTGTAAAAAAAGTGAAGCAGAAAAAGCGTTCCAAGATACAACTGCGAGATTCGGCGACTTGATAAAGCCCCTCCTATACATAATACCCACGAAGAGAGTATACGTACATACATCGGCGGAAATCGTGCAATTCCACGTGGAAGCAAAAGACGCCGGGTACCCCTTTTATTTCACTCTTGTTCCTTCCTTTTTTTTTTTTCTTACTCTTTTCCTTTGCTGTTCCATACGCCATAGGGAAAGACAGAGAAGCCCTCACGTAATTGGAACGAGAATTTGTTGCGTTATTTTAATTAAATTTAAGAGCACCGGCGAAAGCTCTACCCCTTCGAATGGGATTTTGCGCGTTCGTTCACTGCCTTCTCTCACCGAGGAAAAAAAAAGGGTGGGGTTATTGTCTTGGATATTTTCTGTATGCGCGCGATGCGTTTTAATCAAGCAACTTTTCGCGTTTCCGTGGATTTTTCCTCTTACCCCTCGTGTGTATGTATATACCACCTGACCCTCTGCCTCGTACACTTGTTTAGTGCGGGCTTGAGCAGTTTTATTTTTTTTTTTGCCTTTTTTTTTGCCCCTCCAAGGATTCGTTAGCATGTAGTTTTATGTTAATGACGAGAGATTTTTCAAGGGGTTAGTACTTACGCAGTGCTGTTAATAAGTTTTTAGGGGACGAAATGGTTATTATTTTTCAAGGACAGCTGTTGCTTAAGATTTTTCTCGTGTTATTGATAAGCGTAATTTTTTTACCAATTTCAGAACTATTTTGAATGGAAAAAATCCATGAGGTTTAGGTGAAATATCTTGTTTTGATGTTAGGATTAGCTTATGCCATATCACGGGGTATTAAATAGGTTAGTTATTAAAAAAGATGATTCAAAGCGTAAGATTGTTGTGAAATCAGTATTGTAAGGTCGATTTAGATTAATAAAAAATGATGGTTTTCGCATAATTACACAGGCTTTAAAAATTGGAGTAAAAATCACCCTCAAAGCTAATAGTCTCAAATGGAACACACGTAATTCGTACCCGATGCAAAACCTTGACGCTTAACCACGACTTTGATTTAATTCAATTATCGTTTCAATATTCCTTCTAGAAAGACGACCGGAACAACTCTAGGCTTTTATATACGTGTGTAACATCAGCGAAAGCGAAATTCAATATTAGGTATTTGTGCGATATTCGCTCTTTTTCTCATTAGAGTCGGGAGATTGAAAACCATAAGCCACTTCACTGTTCATTGGATTTGCAATTTGATGCAATGATACCTTATTCTTTACAAAATTGAAAAGATTTTACAGCAGATCAAGTTTGATAAGGTTCTTTTTCTTTTTTTTTCTTGTGAAATTATCATGAGGCGAATAAGTTACTATCGCGAATTTTCTTTCTTTTTTGGTACACGTATTCATAAAAAATAACTGTGGGTTTTATTATCATAATGCATTCTTCTTTTAAAGAGCCACTTTCTATTTGATTGCGAGTATGGAGTGAAGTCAGTGAAGTTGAAAAGAATCCTCTATTATAGTTCCATTTCATAAAATACTCCAAATTTTATGCTATCCATACTATAATTTATATAATTTTTTGTTTGAAAAAACAGTTAAAAAGACTGCTCTTTTTCTAAGATAAAATACCGCGTAGACTGTCAGATTAGTATATTTAAATCGATAGATTATGTCTCGTAACTGAACGAAAGTGGGTACAAAACATGAAATCTTATGAACAAAAAAATGTACAAATAAATATGTATAAATATGTACAATTTTACTTATAGATAGATAACCTAATTCTATCTCATAAACACAGTGAACGAACAAGTATCAAAACATATTTTTTTTAAGCATAATTCTGTAAAAAAAAGCTACCATGATAATTAATATTCAATAATTATTTCTTTCAGTTGAAATTATTAGTATCAAATTCAGCTGTAAAATTATTTTTATATTAATTTTGCAACGACTTTAAACACCGTTAAGTCTTTACCACTGCCAACAGATAAAGTTTACTTCTATTATCCATGACTTTTATTTTTATTATAGATATTAAGTAATAAAAAACTCGTGATGAATTAAAGTAGTGTATCTCTCGTAAAAATTCACTTTTATTATTATAAAATAACTTTTATTAAAAAGCACTCACTTGAGAGTTGGATCCGTCTTGAGTTTGTCGAGGACAGTGGTGTACGGCACACCAAGGACTCGATCAATTATGTGAATGATACCATTGACCGCCCCAATGTTCGCCGTGATGATTGTAGCGTTGACGCCACCACCTTCCACCGTGACTGTGTTGTTGCCCGAGGGGCCTTCCACTACGTTGAAATACAGCTTCGTCAAGGGCGCTGCTGTGCTCACCTGCGTTACACGTTGGGTAGAAAATAATAACAAATAGAAATTAGGTATGAATTATTTACATTCTTTTTTTTTCTTAATTTTAAGTGGAAAGGGCTTTTGTTTTATAAATTTAAAAAAAAAGTTGTATCTTTCGAAATTAAACGCAGCCTTTTCCACAAAAATTTTACTAAGACTAAGACGAACTGCTTTATAACCAAAAATAAAATAATGAAGTGTTTCGTAATGGAAAATAGTAGATTAGCTAAGTGAGTATAGAATAGACACAAACAATTTTGAAACTAATTTTTATGTAGCATTATTTATATTCAAGACTTTTTTCTTTTGACGGCAAGGATAAACTTTCGTAAACATAATTTTAATTTTAATTTTTTCCAATTGAATTTATTGAAGTTTATCTTTGTTACTGTAAACATGCATCATTACAGTTATAAAAAATAAAGAAATTATTATTAAAGTCATACAAAAATAACAAAATTAATCAACTTTGATCAAGTGTTAAGTGATAATGAAAATTGATTCCAATGTTTTACACACTAGATGCAAGTCAAGACTATTGCTTTTGATAGCTGATTAGATAGAAATTGAAACCACAATAAAAACACAACTATAATTTGAGATATGATGCATCATTGAACTTAAAACTATTCATGCTTCACACATGTGACGAAAAAATTTACAAATAACTCGTGTGTAGTGTTAATGTGGATTTTACTCTCAAAATGTACAACACTCTGGTCTTGAATATCCATTAAATATCAGCAAGTATAGAAATATATATTTTTTAACAATAATTGCTCGTACACTAAAAATATATGTTTTTTTCATCAAAATAAAATACATCCGCGTCGGACAACATGACTGGGGTTCTTTAAAAAAGCCCGCGAGGAAGCGAGCTGAAAAAAGCGCGTCGTTTTTAACTTGCAAATCCTCCCGGGAGGTGGATTGCAAATCGAGCGTCTTTCCGTTCTCGTAAGCTCCAACTCGAAAGCTAGTCAATCCACGTCGGCTTTGTCGCTAGCGATCCGTTCTCGTGAATTTCTCGCGATCCGTTGCATCGGAATGCATTCGTCGTGTCGTGTCGTGTGTGATCGATTTCCTTTTTTTTTTTTTTTCTCTTTTTTGTGACTTGTCCATAAAAGTTTTACTACCAGATATCCTTGATGGCTGACAAACTAGAGTAATTCATACAGTAAAATTGCAGTATTGCAGTATAGACTTACGATTTTTTAAGTAGATTTTTTGAGACCTTAAAAGAAAATTTTTGTCTTTAATTAAGTATATTTTTTTTTTAATGGAAAAATTTTTTATTTGTCTCTATTGTCAATACAATATGTAAAAAAAAATTTTCTAGCAGATAAGTGCAATACATTTAAAATAGTTTATTTTATTGTTAATAAACCTAATTTTAAACTATTTTACTAACCTATTTGTAAACTGAAATTTTTGCTTTTTTTGTTATTTTACCTCCAAATTAAAATGCATTGTTTTTGCTGAAAAAAATAAAGCACGTAAAATTTTTTTGTTTTTATCATAAATAATGCATTACATTTTTAGCAAAACAAATTATGGTAAAAAAAAAAATTGATGTGGTATCCGTGCCCAAGTCTGAATGTATAGTTAAGACGTTACGTAGCGTACTACAATTATTCACCATAATTCCCTGTGATTCCCTCCATTGATTAGTAATTTGACTGGTAAAATTTTTTTACTCGCACAATACCCCAACATCACCATAATTTCATGGTAAAAACTGTTGTGGTTATTTTATCCATGTAATCATTATTTATACATTGAAACTCATACAATTTTTTTTTTTACCATTCCACCCAAAAAAAAAAAGTTTTTAACTCCTCCATAGTCGCAATAAAATTACTCGTCTCTTGTAAAAGTAAATTAATCAGATGTTAATTGCTTAATTCACCTAACGACCTCGTTTCACGAGTATAAGCGCGGGCTTCAATGTAAATGGCAAAAAAAATTCTTATTTACATTTAAAAAGAAAAGAAAGTAGAGGTTCGGCCACAGAAAAAAAAGAGGGAAACGAAGGAGAGGCGCAAATGTAGTGAAAACGATGAATTAGCATAACTACGAGTGTCTCAGCGAGCTGTCACTGCTGAGATGTTAATTCGTTGTCTCTCGCCGGGGTGACTTTATTCGAAATGTAATAACGTTGTTGCGTGTACTCAGAAAAGTTATGCAGCAAAACTTAATTAAAATTTTGGGGGAAAAAATAATATATACATGAGTTGAATTTTCTAAGCGTTACGTATAATATTTTTTCTCAAAAATTATAAAATCGAAAGTTTTGAGATGCTCGATCGTTTAAAACTGCAAATTTTTAAGGGATGAAGTGCATTTTGTTCAAAGCTTTCCTTTCATTACTGCGGGAACCTAAATCCTATTTTACCTGATCAACTGATACGTAACTACTATCAATGCATGTCTTTTGAACTAAATCATGAAAATGTATACCCGTTGTCATAGAACACTCACTATAGGTGATGGTATTCATTTGATGAAAAATTCTCAACCAATAGCTAGTTTTTGCATAAAATGAATACGAGTTAAATTTACTAGTTTTTGATAAATTGACCATATTATTTTGTATGGTAATAATTGTTTCTTGCGCAAACTGGAAAAACCAATAAGTTAAAAAATAAGTCTGGGTGGTAACAAACCTTGTTGTCAATAGTTCCAAGTATTATTTAATTTTATCTAGCGGAAATTATTTTTTTATCATATATACACGTGCACATTACGAATAATGAAATATTTCATATTTTTAAATTGCTAAAAGTCACGTAACGTCATGGATCAAATAGTAGAATGATATTCTCTCGTAACGTGGCAATTTTCGTTCGAGACAAGAAACATCATAGTCAAGAGCACTGACGTGTACTGATACCTCATTAATGACGCCGTAAAACTGTACCATATTCGTAGCATGTCATGACAGTAAGATCGTCTCTCAGTTTTTTGTTAGACATAAAAAAAGTACTTTTTAGGGTTTTTAACTTCAGTTTTTGCACGCTATAAATTTAATTATTGTTCAGACATAAGTGATGCTTAGTAGTTAAAAATATTTTATGTTGGAGTTATTAACCCCTGTTCTACGCTACTGATTAAGTATGAATAAAAAAATATATTAAATACAAAAGCCATAATTTACGTTATTTTTTTAAATAGTCATGAATCGTGAATGTACAGACGAACAAATGCAATTATGTTTGTTGAAACGACTCAAATGATAATTTACTGTCGATTTTAGAAAAATTTCTCCATTATGTGTCATTTAATTAAATAGTTAAACATTTCAATAAATTTCAACCTAACTAACCACACGACGAGCAAAAATCGTTGCAACTTTTTTCATGAAAAAAACGAGCACTCCCCTGGTCTTTTTATTAAATTTACAAGCCTGCAAAAATTTTTCTTGTCGCGCAGTTGTTTTCAATTATAACTCGAAAATCCTTGTAAAAGTCCGTATCGAAGCACTGCGACTTTTTGACGGTCCGAGCTTCGACCCGCATCGATTTAACGGAGTCCGCGGTAATGATTATTCTTTTTCAAGCGCGAAAAGTTCAAGTGCATGTGCCCGTCCACCCGACGATTAAATTTTTTTAACGAGTCTGGCACAAGTGTCTCGACGATGGTGTTTTATTTTTTTATTTTTGTACCTGTATAGGTTGTTAAATTTACGATTATTTTCCTGAAAAATGGCAACATTTTTTTATTTTGATTTAAAAGTAAAATACGTTTTATATCGTACAAAGCCTTAACAAATCAGTGATCAGCGTAGATTCGCCTCTCCTCACGTACCGAAGTACTAGTGATGAAGCAAAATTTGCGAATCCAGCGATGACTAATCCGCAAACAACGCCATTGGCGAGCACAAATATTCATCAAGCCCATGTATACCCAGAATCCGCTGACGCGTGATTCACAGGCTTCGTGTACTTTATTGATCACGTAAAAAAAAAAAAAAATAAAAAAAACTGAATTTACATCATAGTGTGAGGTTTGAAATATTTGTCGACTTTGTGGAATGAATTACGCAAGCATGTGTATTTTTTGACGCAGCGATAAAAAAGTTTGTATTATTGTTCGCCAGTGTTTTGAGGTGCTCTCATATTTGAGACAAGTGCACTCACGTAGTTGTCGATATGGAGTAACTGTAGTAATTTAAGCTCAAACGAGAATTGAAGTGCAGAAAAACAGTAAGATACGGAGAAGAAGAAAAAGATAAAAAAAGAACACCTGCTCTTATTGTAATTAGATCTGAGTTTCGTGTTATCACTACTACGGTAGTAATAGCAGTGGTGGAGTGGAGAAGGAAAGGGTACGTACACATCCTCGAGGGTGGAAAATTACAGGAAAAGAAAGCTCGAAAACCAGGACACGTATCGTCGAGAGCTCGAATTACTTCGGGAAAGAGGAAACGAGTAGTGCAGCAGTAGCTGCAGAAGAAGCAGTGGCTCATCATCGTCCCATCGACGTCGATAAGGGAAACGAGCTCTTTCGCTCTGCCATGTCCTTTCGATTTTTTTGTTCCTTTTTTGTCTTGCAAAGGAATAATTCGTCAAATAGTGACTATGATGTTATGACGAGGCTTTGATTATTTCGATTACTTTGATCTTTTGTTCTTTTTTTTTTTTTTTACTTTATTTTGAATTTTATACAGCATACAATGATACATTAATAGTTTGAATAAGTTAAAAATGCACACTTTATTTTTATTTCGGCTTACTACCGTTCACCTTCGCAAATATTGTGTTTAACTTGTGTAACACTAGTATTTTCAAACTACCGTAAAAAATTTATGTCATTTCAGTATGATAACAAATGGTTTCTATCATCTTTCTGTACTGTTGCTGTTAGACTCGAGCACAATTTTTTAATGGGTTTTTTTTAAACTTATAAGAAAAAAAATTTTTTTTTCGTGAAATAAATACTGATGTGAAATAAGTTTTGTAAATTTCATCAAAATATTACTTTGGAATTAAAACGTTTTTCAAAACTTTTTTTTATCCTTTTTTTTTAATTGCAATACATCGTTTATGCTAAAAAAAAAGTTTCATGAAGCATTGTGTTATAAGTAGTATTCTAAAAAAATTTTTTTTCTAAAATAAAGCATTACTTTTGTCAAAAAAATTGTTTTTAAAAAGAATCCAGTTCATTCAATAAAAATCAGTTACCGTAACTAATTTTTTCATAAATGAAACAAAATTTTCGTTACTGTTGTCACTTTGTGTAACGTTTAAATAAGTAAAATATTTTCATCCATTTTTTTGGTCAACCCAATTATTTAGTTTTTTTACGTGTTGTCTGGTCGAAAAATAATTTTGTACCAATTTATGAAATCAAATCAGTAAAAACAGTACGATTGAATTCTCTTTGAAAATTATCAGCTTGATTTTAATATTTTACTTTAAAAAACAAAAAAATCGGGTTTATTCTAACAAACGATTAAATTTGTGGGATCGAAAAATACAAAAAGTAGAAATTCGATCAAAAAGCGGATAGAAAATTTTAATCAAGCGTAATGGTGATGGCTTTTTTGCGATTAAAGAAACTGTAAAAGAAGAAAAGGACGGAAGGGCAATTTTTCACCTCTCCCAACATCTCATTTAATCAGTCTAATAGTCAAGTTAAACCACTTTAAGTGGATCCGAAGTTTTACTCCGCGCGGTTCTTCGGTAATTAGACGATTCACCGTTCCACTTTGTCTCTCTTCCCTTCCCTTACCTCGTACCAACCCCCCTGGTATTCCCTTAGATTTCTACAAGCATGGAACGATTTCACTCTATTTTTTTTTTCACCATCTCTTGGAACTTCTCTTTTTTTTTCATCGATCAAACACGCAGCGAGTAATTTTTTTTTTCAGTTTGCTTCCGCCAAAAGCTCGGGCTTAAAAGCTTTTTCGCTTCCGTACGCGTGAGACTTTTTTTTATACGTGTACACTTTTTTTTGTAGTGCGTTTTCTCTTTCACGTAGACATCGGTATAGGCGCGAAATATCACTTCCGGGACCAAACAGGCGATTGAATACACGAAGATTTTAATTGACCGTTAGTTCGAGAATTTTTTCTTCTCCTAGAAAAATATAGCTGATTTTTGTTTTGTTTCGTTTTAAATTAACATAAAAATGCAGGCATGCTACACTAGGTATGTTTTCTGTTTTCTGAGAATTAGTCCAAAATAATAAGTAATAGTGAAAAAAAAAATGCAAATACTAAATACGCTAAATACACTCATATATTAATAGTAATGAATGAATTTTAATTACCGAATAATACGTCTTACCAGCCCAAAAAGGCTTAAAAAAAGTAAAAATAAAGATTATTAGTTTCGAATACGTGCTCTTGCTGTAATTATGTTATTGGTATTGCTATAATTAATCTTACGTATTTATTATGAAATTGAAAATTTGACAAAATCGGTAGAATATTCCGAAGTATTGCAAAATATTTTCCTCATCATTTTGGTGACAAGATTTTACTATTGAATAAACATTATGGCAATAATATAAAAATTTATGAGAAATATAGGGTACAGAACGTGTAACTTACTAGTTACAAAGTAAAAATAACTTCACTACACATAATGTAATTGATAGTACGTTTGATAAAATTGAAAATGGTGTTTACCACGTGATTCCATTCACTGTTTGTAAAACCAATTTTCTAAAGATAATATTGAGACTTTTCATCGTCTTGGTGAAAATAAAATTTCATCAAATGAAAATTTGTGTCAAACGATGCAACAAATGCTTGGTATGATATAAACATTTATTTGTCGATGATTTTCTTATTTTTCTACTTTCGACTACTTTACCGATGTGATTAAACAATATTTAACAAATTAATAATACAACATTTTCATAATAAACTGTAGTTAACAATAAACTTTGATATGAAAGAAAATGCTTCCAATTAAAGCCAATAAACCCTCAGCCGGTAATGCAGCTTATACCTGCCTTACTCGACCGATAAAACAGCACATCGATAAAGCCACCACCTTTCAAAAATCACAAAAAAAGGATTTAAAAAACAAATACCCTAGTCAACCAACCTGTTTAATCGTTTTCTTCTCAATAACGTTGAGTGGCAGGTACTCGCGTACATAATGCAAGTTGAGCAGTTCCTTGAGTCGTTCCTTGTCCTGGAGAATCTGCTTTACCCCGGGCTCCTCCCAGGCAGCGTTGCGTGGCGCGAACAACGTCACGTTCATGTGACGCGACACTGACCTCATGAAATCGTCGCCCTGGTCGCGTATCACCTCGTAAAACTTGAACAGCGGGCCATCCTCTTTGTCCTAGTATTTGGGAGATTGCAAAAAAAAAAATAAAGTAGTTTTAGTAAATTCCTTCGTATTGTGTACTGGTAACGCACATAGTACAAGAAAAAGGCTGACGCACAAGCCCGCGACGCGTTTTCAAGCTCTGAGTGCCGAATGAATGTACAGAAAATTTTTTTTGAAACCCAAGAGTTCAAGCATTGACGCCCAAATAAGTAACAATTTTTTTTTCGTACTATTAACTGCTGAACATTGCAGCCAGCATAATAACATCAAAACTTTGGATAGTGAGATATGCATTTGATTGCATTAATGTTTGAGCTCTCGTGTTCCCACAATGGTTTCTATATATGCGATTGTAAATGCTACGGATTGAATAAGTTCGGTAAAGACGTTAACTTGTTCGAGTAGTCGAAAATTGATCGTGTATGAAAGCACGTCATGAAATTAATAATTAGTACTATAAAGTTTTATTGTCTCAGAGTGAATCTTTTTTTTTTTTTTTTTTTTTTTTTTAAACAAGAATAGCTGTTAAGATTTACTTTGAGAATATAGAAAAATAAAGTCATCATAATGAAAAAAATAGAAAATTTGAGAAGAAAACTTTGTAAAGAAAGATAAACAAAAAATCTAGGTATTGGAAAGAATAACAATAAGAATTAAAGGTAGATGCGCTTTGAAAACTGTAGATATATATATATATATACATATATATTGACAACGTTATACGCGAAATATTAATAATAATGGGCAAGCAATCAGCAAATCATTATCTGAGCTTTAAAACATTGATTAGTAACAAGTAAAATAGACGATCACAACGTGAATTTGGAAAAAAATGTACACAAAAATATTTTTAAAATCAAAACACTCAAAACACACATAAATGTCGAAAAAATTAGTCTATAATATATGTACAGTATGCGATTAATTTGTAAGATACTTTGTAAAAATTTACATGCCAATTGACGTTTCATTTTCTTCTCTTGAACTTTCTGCGCGTGAAAACGATTACGTTGAAACAAATTGGAAAATAAATAGCAATAGCAGGCAAAATATAGAGAAACCCTATTTTTTGAAAATTCAAACAAATAAACGAGATACAACTAAAATAACCAAAAACATAAACTAAAGAAAAAAGTTCATAGCACTACAATAAGTAAATATCTTGGTACCATTGAAAGAACTTTATATTTAATCACTACTGATTTTCTAATAAACTACAGACGTTGACATGTGTGATTAATATTAAGGCACTATTTAGAGTATAAATATTTCAATCGCTGACTCAAAGACAATTAATTTTTTTTAACCTACTGTAATGTCACATAAATATAATTATTGTGCTAAAAAGGTGGAAATACATGTGCAAAACAGGACGATCTAAATCCTTTGTATTCGTTCAACACTTCACTATCAATTATTTCGTGAAAAAAAAAAAAAAAAAAAAAAATACTTTGAATCACAGAAGCTAAAGGGAAACGAAAGCTCTAATGATCATAAAATTCAAAAGCAATTAATAGCAGTGTAGTCGTAATTACACCAGAGTCTCGATGCACCGGCAATAAGGAAGAGCATAATAGTATTCGGTCTGATATTGGCAGGTACGTCGAACTACTAAATACAATTCTCTCTCCCGCGTACCAGCCCCTGAATTATTAATCCCGATAATACCGTCGATTATATATTATATGTGTATCCGTTTTCGCCGTCAGAATATTTAATGACGCGGATGGATGTACATAAGCGTTTCTCGTAATGCACACACGCGCGCGTGTATAGCTTACACGGTAATGGTATTCGCGTCGGGCTGGTTGTTATTTTGCATGAAAACAGCCCATGCGCGGATCGATCATACACGTGTACGATTGCCCGATAATATTATGCGCGCGTTGGAGCGTGGAATAGCGATGAATCTATTATTTATTTGATACGGTTTTAGACACAATGATTTTAGAAATTATCGTGACCCTTGTGCTTCTGATGAAATTTTACAAACATGTTCTTCCTTTTTTCGTAATTTAATGGAAAAACTTATGTTCTCTCTCTCTCTCTCTCTCTCTCTCTTTCTTTCTTTCTTTTTTTGTATTTAAAATTTTGAAATCTAATTTAATTCTAATAAGTGTATTTCTGTTGTGAAACTAGTTTCTAATACATATATATTACGTGTGACAAAAGTCTGTAGTTGGTCGTGTAAAATGAATTTTAAAACTATGAGTGAGTGTTTATTTATTTATTTTTGCTTCTTTTTTTTTATTTAGTACTTACGATGCCCTATATGACATGCAGAATCCAATAGAGACATGCAAAGCACCACAAAATAACATTATTGAGTCAATGAGAGTACATCAACACATTTATATGCAATTTATTATGTAAATAGAAATTAGTGGGAATTTTTAACAGTACAAAAGTTTCACATTTAACATCCTGTCATCAAATTTCAAAACAATCAATAGTATGCTTAGGCTCAGATTGTCGGTACTATTTTTATGCGTAACTGTTAATCAATCTAATATTGCATTTGTCGAAATTCAGAAAATAAACAACAATCAAGAAATAAATGTATAAATAATCAGCAAATACAATTATCGCGTTAAAGAAAAGCGATAAACTATTAAATAATCATCAAATTAATTAATTTTTTTTCACAGGTATGAAAATTATCCTATTATGAATAATTGTTTCAATTCAATATCCTTACGTGTCTAAAAAACAAAGTAATATCAAGAAAGAAAACAAAATTGAACAAAAGGTATAAATTAAGTAAAAAAACAAATACATGAAATACTATCTAAATTATGACGGTAAACTCGTGATTGAAAAATGATTTTACGATTGATAAAAATCAGAAAGCAGAGTATCTAAAGTGAACATCTAATATCGTATGATCAATGGAAAATAAAATATTTTCTGTTGTCTTATTTTTCTTTGAATTAAATATTTTATTGATGGTAAAATATTAGAAAATTGATTTAATATAAATATTTAAGCGAAAACAAAAGAAAAGCAATCACCATGACCTTTCTATCCAACGAATTGCATTTATGCACGTGTTGATTGATAACGAGCGTGACAGGTGATGGTGCATAAGGAAGAATGAATTTGGCGAACGAAACTCGATGATCGGACGCGTAACGATGACTCGGTTGATTTGTGTGCTCGAACGCGCGGAACGGACTAATCTATAGGGCATCCACTACGTGTGTAATGCGACATTTGAAATTCGCGTCATTGTTGGTATTGTCATATTAGGCAGTGGTGGTTTCGTGGTATCATGCAGATTTGTGGTATGTTTTTTTTTTTTTTTTCCTTGATTTTTTGTGAATTTTTGGATAAAATTGTGCACTAGTACTTTTTGTTAAGCTCATGAATTTAAGGTGAATTTCAAAAGTAAAATTTTTTACTCGATGAGACTGAAGTTTTGTTAGAAAATTATTATATTTCAACAATACTACTGTAAAATTGCTAAGGATAACAGTAGTAATTATTCCATATCGTTGAGTTCAATCATGAACGTAAACTACATACGTTTCGGTTGTTAACAAATTTCACACCAATTATCTCTGGTAATGTAATAATTGTTATTAAATTTACATGGCAAAAGCAGCTACTTATGGTTGGTTAAATGTAGAATTTTCGAAAAAAAAATGTATAATTTTTGAAAACTCAAAAAGAAGTTTAAAAAATCAAGTAATAATGAATTTTTTTTTTTTAAGAAATATTTTATATTCTTCGTAAACCTTTTTTATCTCGCTGTTGGTGATATCGGTTTATGCGTTGTCTTGTGTTATCATAAAAACGTGTTTTACATGCACACATGCCACGTTATTGTAACAAATAGTCATCTAATAGAGAAACTCTCAATGTTTAATTCACCCAAAGAAGTTAAAAATTCATGCTTTTTCGTTAATACATTCTCCTTACACGTAAAAAATTTTTTTATCGAACCATCCCTGCTAAAATTATTGTTATTACATAAATGTATGTTGCTTTGCAAAATCGCTCACATGATTCATGCAAATTTTCACGTAAATTTACGTATCCGCCAAACTTCACTTTTCGAACGATTCACTTTTTTAAATAGATATTTTTTTAACTCGTCAAGCACTCGCATCTAAATTATCGTCGTATCCGTTACGCAAGGACTAGGACCAGAGGGCATTAATTTTAATGATAAAATACGCTGGGGTGGAGCTGCAGAGGAGATTAATCAAATACTCGAGAAAATTTATCGCAAGATATTTATATTCAATACATTTGGAGGCATCGCGTATGTTTGCGCGATACGGTCTTCAATCGTAAATTAATACGCAAATAAATTCGTCGATGTTGATTCGACGCGTTATCGTGGACGAAATGTATTTATTTACTTGTGCGGGATGGCTCGCGATGATTTACCATTCCGAAATCGCGAAATCACTTGACCCGCAAAAACAATATTGATCCCTTACGTGCTCACGGAGTCAAAGTGCGAATTTCGCGGTCGTTGGATCTTCGATTCGCGGTAAATCATGGGCTCGCTCGCTTTTCTCTATATCGCGGTACGAAATCACATTGATTTTGCGGGGCGCAATTAGCGGGCAGATTTCCAATTTCATATCGGCGATGGTGCAAAAAGTAAAGGGACCCTCTACGCGCGCTTTTTCGGCTTCTGCGATCGACAAATTTTAGGAGACAGATTTACGACTCTTTCGGGGAATAGTTTTTGCACATCCGGTAAGTGAAATTCATTTGCTCGCAGAGTGAGAGTCCGGGTTGTTTTTGCTCGTTTATCATAAAACAAATACCTCCTCATAAATATACGGTTTTATTGGTACATTAAAATAGTTTAAAACAAGTTTTTATCGTAATTTATAAAAGCGAGGTTAGCCAATGGTGTACGTTATTTAAAATAATAAAACAAAAAAAGTTTGGTGACTCCTGCTTTTGTGAATTATGGATAAGATGAATTTTTATAATTTACTTTTTAGTTTAAAAAATCATCTTTTCATGCATTTTTTATCATGACTTTAATTTTTCACTTTAAAATTACAATTTCAACCCGTAGTTCAACAAAACGTTTACGTTAAAAATGTTTACATAAAATTTCATAAAAGTGCACTGGACACAACTTTCTTAATAGTACATTAAATTTTTTTATGCTTATTGCCTAAAATACCATGTCTTACATTAAATTTCATACAGATAAATATCACACTATTTATATGACATTTTATAACATTTTACATGAAATTTAATTCAAATTCAACCAAATTCGTGAAAAATTGAACAAATTGTTTTTATATAATTTAATGCTAAAAAAACATATAATTTAAGGCATAGTTTCATTTACAGTGTAAGTACTTAACTTGTACATATATTACACAATATTTTTACCTTCTGCGATAAAAATTGAGTTGAAAAAAGCATAAACAGTGAAACGTTAAAATTAAATATCCCCGTAAATGAGTTTTCTAGCAAACACGAAGCGGCTTTTTGAAAGGTCCGTAATAAAAAAAAAAAAAAAAAAAAAAAAAAAGAANAATATTTTTACCTTCTGCGATAAAAATTGAGTTGAAAAAAGCATAAACAGTGAAACGTTAAAATTAAATATCCCCGTAAATGAGTTTTCTAGCAAACACGAAGCGGCTTTTTGAAAGGTCCGTAATAAAAAAAAAAAAAAAAAAAAAAAAAACCTGTTTACCAAGCATCGTTTGACAAAAACATAATCACTTTCAATTGCTAGTTAATGAAAAAGCCGAAGTAAAAGAAGTATAAAGCACAAACGAGCGAATATAAAAGAGTCCGGGTGGCGTATCAGTCCCGCGCAAAACGAGAAAAACCCGGGCAGTCACGTAGCCAAGTCGCGCTTGATTAAATTTTGCTTCCACGCCAAATTGCACTTAATTTCGGTCGATGCCGTGAATTACAAACGGAAAATCCACTGCGTTGCCTTTTTTCATATGTTTATTCGGACGAGCACTGGTTTACTGGCTCTTTCTCCGCGGACTTGGTAAAAGCAAAAAAATTCTGGTCCGCGATTGCAATAAATTTCGAGGCTCAAGTGGTCCCGGGCACCCTGCAAATGATCAATACGCTGAGGTACATATTTTTTTAATAATACTTTTGAGCGGAGCTACTGACCTCTAGGAAATTACAAAATCCTGGAAAAGCCATTAAAAGATGGATTTTTTCGTAGAAGCGAAATAATTAATTGCATTGCAACGCAAATTGAAAGAACTCCTATAACGATAAAAAACAACATTTGCTTTTTGTTACATTTTGTAGAGCAAAATTTTGTATGAACTCGACAAAGCTTCGATTTAAAAAAACATGTTTTCTTCATTAATTGAATAACATGTAGCTGAAACGTAGGATTTAAGTACAACTGCTCATAAAAGGTAGCATCTCCTATACTTATTTATTTAAAACGCTGGTGTAGTAAACGAAGCGACAAAAACAGAATCCACTCGAGCTCACAACTCTTTTTTTTTTTTTTTTTTTTTTTTTTTTTTTTTTTTTTTTACCAGAGCTCTTATGCTTATACTGCATCTCTTTTATCCAACGTTTGATCACCCGGAGGATATTATGTGAACGCGATTTTATTTCCGACTCGCTTTCCGCGAAATAAGTTTTTACAGCCCTCGAGGTCTTTAGTCGTGTATGCGTAAACGGAGATGATCACAGTTTTTCCGGGAAATCATACGCGAGATTGTTTTTCTCCTCAATTTTTTTTTTTAATATGTCATACGAGAGTTTTTATCAAATGCTGTACACTTTGTTTCAATGTGATAGTGCTTTACTGCTTACGAGTTTGTTGAATAAAAATTAGGCTTTGCCAATTGTATAACTTGAACTGAATAATTTCCCAGCAGGGTTTGGAATTGAAATCGTGAATAGTCTATTGTGTGGTCATGTTATTGATCGTTCATTACATTAAAAATTTCTTTTTAAATTATTTTAATCAGTCGTTATCGGTGTTTTCATGGAATAAAGATCACATGTCTTTGGTAAAAATAATTTGATTACTCATTACTTCAGTGATTATGAGTTTTGTAAGAAGATTTTTAATCACACGCTATACTAGTTATAAGTGGTTTAAAAGTTTTTCAAAATTGAAAAAATAAATATAAATTATCTACAGTTTTTATTGGATTAACTCATAGGATTTATTCAAAATATTTTATCTCATATTGGAAATTTTTTTGCTTATTTTTGTGTGTGTATGTTTTTTTTTTAGGTATTGGAAAGAATAACAATAAGAATTAAAGGTAGATGCGCTTTGAAAACTG